AGGAAGGGTGATTTGTACTTATTTTGTTTTGTTGTAAGCTGGAAATAAATGTACATGCAAACCCCACAGCTTTTTGAAACAAAGGAGGAAGATAAGCGGACTCTTAAGATAGTGAGGCTTGAGAGCAATAACATTAAGGTAATTAGCTTTTTTTTTTTAAATCCTGTTCTAGTTGTATCAGTAAAGGTCTTCAGTATCCTGATGCGGAGTTTCATTCAGTTTCTTCCCTCTGTTGGTGTAGATCCTGTAATTCAAACGTAACCGCCTGAAGTTTTCTGCGGCCGCAATGAAGTCTTCACCACTGGGATAAAAGGGAGAGCTCAGCTTGGTTAGAAAGACCTCATATGGCCCTTATTCTTGGCCAGTCATGTCTGAAACTCTCTGTGTCCTGGAGCTGCATTTTGTGGGTAGCTGGTCAGAGTCCCTGAGCAGAGCTCTCCGTGCCAGTAGCCAGAACTGCAGCATGCTGTTTGGGGTCAACTGTTGGGCAGCAGCTGCTGAGTCCTCAGAAAAACATTTGTCTTGGACTTCTCAGCTCAGACCTCATTCTGGCACTTGGCCTAGTTAGACCCGTTTCAGTGTCTGTGGTTGTCTAATTTCCAGGTTGAACAAGGACACGATGTCACCACTTCCCTACAGGCTAAGATATAAAAAGTGAGGCATGAAACAGAAGAGCCTTTGCTGAGTTGTGTCTGCGATGCTGGTGCAGCAGCTTGGGTACTCCAGTGAGGAGGCAGCAGGACTGCAGGAGCTGGAAGAGCCAGCAGCTGTAAGAGCAGCACTAACAACTGCTGTGGCATAACTACACAGATTGTGGTGGTTGTGTCTGCAATGCTGGCGCAGCAGCGTTGGGTACTCCAGTGAGGAGGCAGCAGGACTGCAGGAGCTGGAAGAGCCAGCAGCTGTAAGAGCAGCACTAACAACTGCTGTGGCATAACTACACAGATTGTGGTGGTCCCCGAGGCCCGTCCAGAAGAAGTGTTTGCAAGCATTACTGTTTCACAGTGCGCAAATACGTTGCTGGGGAAAAGGTGATGGTGGAAAGCTAGAGCAAGTATAGTACTCAGTCTTCAGCTTGATAAATAGATGAGCTCTGTTCTCTTCCCCCGTGTGTTGAACTGAGCCCTTCCAGTATCTGTCAGTTTGTGGTGTTCCTGTTGGTCGCTCATACCTCTGGTGACAGCTTCCAATTTTGCTGTGTTGTTAGAAGGGTTCTTCTGGAAATCACAGGTGAATTGGCAGGTCTGAAGGGTTGACAGCTTGTCAAAATAGAGCTACTAGGTGCAGTCAGCTAAGCTCTCATTCTTTCAGTACTAGTATAGAACATAGGATTGACAGTCCAGGGACTGAAACTGGTTTTTCACAGCTCAGATAAAGCGCACTGTGTGTCAGGGCGTACTCCTCAGATGTGCAGAAGTGTCTCCTGGCAGCTATGGAGGGAGGGGAGTGGGGACTTGGGGGTTATAGCCATCCCTTTGAGTGAAAAGTTATATGGTTGGGCATTGAGACATTAAAATACCAACAAACACCCATCTTTTCCAACTGCAGGGAACTGAATAATCCTCTCCCTGTAGCCTGGGAACTGTAGCAGGCAGCTTTTGCTTTCTCCCTGCTCCGGCAGCTCTCAAAAAGGCTGCAAGTGACTAGGTCCAACCTCACCCTATCGGAAAATCCTACTTGCATGACTACCTGAGAGAGTGCTTCATCCTTGCCCTGAATTACCAGAAAAGCAGCTGAGTTTCCATCTCTTGATATTTGGCCTTCCCTGTGGAATTGATAAAAATATGAGTCATTGCTGGGTGCAGTGGCGGTTTTGGTAAGACAGCATCCACTCCCGGTGGAGCTCGAGGTGATGCTACTGAACTCCTCATGGGTGTCTCCTGATTCCTCCTTGCTGACATCAAACTGGACAGAAACTGAACTAACAGCTTAAAAATTCCATCTCCAGTCACGGCTTAAAAATGCCATCCCCAGTCCCTCTTTCCTCCCAGACAAACCCGTCTCTGTACACAACAAGAAGTTGATGGAAAGAAGCTCTAGTAACTCTGGAAAACTTTTTTCTTTTCCCCATCCTAACCCTCACTATTTTGCAGCAAAAGTTAGTTATTGCCAACAGGAACTTTGAAGTATATTGACACCAATTGCCTGCCGAGTGCCTGTTCTTAAATGCTGCTTCTTAAGAGTTCACTTTAATTAATGAAGGGCAGTATTATTCCTTCAGTAAATCCTCTTACTTTAGTTTCCTTGCCTGTAACAGCCCTGCAGGTGGATGGCAGCCCAGGAACAGAACTGCCGTCTCCTGCGTCCCGTGCTAGTGGCTCCTTCCTGAAAACAGAAAATTACTTTAAGCATATTGTTGTCCTTGAAAAGAAACTATAGAGTTTTGGCATCCATTAGATACAATCACTAGTCTCCCCCTCTTGCCTCCCTTCTGCCAAGGAGGACAAGTTTTCACTTTGTCCCGCCTCTAATGCACACTCTGAAGCAGGGAGGTGGGAGGTTTATGCTGTTCTGTCTTCAGTCGGAGTGGGTAAGGAAGCCTGCTCCTGGAAAAAGATGCAAAAATGAATTACTGAGAAAGAAACAGGAGATAAATGCTCCTACAAGAAGGACTGAAATAATTTTATGAGCATGAGAGTGCTCTCCCTCTCAAATGTGAACAGCTTTTCAAAATAAGAGGAAGGAGAACATCAGAAATCCAACCAGGACAGAAAGCAGTGCAGTTTTGAAGAAAAAATACTTGTGGCTTGTTTTTTTTTTGAAGTTGGCAGTATTTAAAACAGCATCAGATTTAGTCTGTTCAGAGGTGAGTTTTCTAACTGGGGAAGAAGCAGAAATGAAGTCTGAGTGTTTAGCTGGGCTTGTCGACTTAACCCTGTGTGTGTGTTCTGAGAAACTCCCCTGATGAGTGCCGCAGAGCCAGCATTTCTAACACAGCAAGCCCCCAACTTGGGAAAATATAGCAGCGCGGAGGCTTGCAGACAGCCCGCAGCCCCTTCTCCCTCCTCTGTTGCGGCCACTGCTGCGAAACAGAAACTGAAAGAGATTGCTTTCTTCTGGCAGAAAAAGCAATTACGTGGAAACTAGTACTGCTGTTTTATCAGGGGTAAACAGATCTTTCTGGGCTTCAGAATCAGCCCCTTTGTGTCTCCTTTATCTTCTCCAACTGCCCCACTGTTGGTAGTGGTCTTCTTATCTAACCACGAAGCTGTTTGGATCAAGAAGTGTAGTGGATTGTTCAAAGGCTGATGTAAAGATTGTGCTGCCAAGAAACACTGCTCCTGCTTATAAGTTTAGCAGCAGCAGCTGCGGTGTTAGCGCAGCTGGAATCAAAACTGCTGCAGCTGCTGCTGCTGGCTGAGGTCGGGCCCCTTCCCAGATAACCTGTGCTGTCCGGCTGAGCTGGCCACGGAGGGTGTCCTCTCTGTTTCCCCCCCCCCACTTTTTTAACTTTGTGAACACCATGTATCCAGAAATGGTTTTGTGTGTGCTGTTCCACTGGAGATGAAGGTCACTGTAGGTACATCCAGGAATCCTTTAGCTTCCTTCATTTTTCCTAGCTGGCTCTTAAGTGTCTGTAAGTGGTTTAACAAGGGCACAGTGAAGGTACTTTAATTATTTTGATCCTCTTTTCCCTGCTTTGTTTTGTGATGCTATGAAGGTGGCCTCTGGCGGGGTTATTACATTGGCCACCTATAAAATGTTAATTTGACTGGGATAGAGGAAATGAAACCAGCCTTGGCAGGGTTTGCACAATGTTGTTTGTGGACATTTGTACCTAGTGTCTGAACCAAGTATCCCCCAGCTGATGAAAGTACGTCGGTAAACTTTTGCTTTTCTGAAGCACTGTGATAAGAATTGGTTTCGTTACTTTCACTTAAGGCATTGAAATATTTTCCAAAGGTAGCAGAGTGGTTTCAGCTGTGCTCTACAGGTGTAGAAAACAGATACAACATGGGAATTTGAAAGTCATGGGCTAAAGGCAGCAGTGGGACTCCCTGCTCTTAGACCTTACTACAATCAGCCATGTTCTGGTGTCGACTTTGGGATGTTTTTAAAGATGCTTGCTATAAAATTGAACTGTATTCCAGTAGCAGCTACTAATTTAGGATATTTCAGTTGATACCTAAAATGCCCTCATTCTGGAGCGCAAATACTCAGTATTTCCTGAAAACAGTGTTGCTCTAGAGTATGTTACACCGTGCTTTAAAAATCCCCAAAACTTGTAAACAGAAATCACTTTTAATAGTCACTTCATGACAGTTAATAAAGACATTATTAAAATTCTGCATCATTTTATTGCAGTGTTTAAGATCATACATTTCTCTTCCAGTCGCTCTATGCCCTGTGTTATTTCTCATCTTTTATCTGAGACAATCTTTTTGGAAGTATTCTGTTGTATGGATTTGGACAAGAAGACCTTTGTTGGAAATGTTCTTGAAACAGACATCATGAACCATAACTCTACAGAGCAATAATTTATTTTTGCTATTAGCAGGATGTTATGTCTTGCATGTGAAAGTTGATAGGGACACAAGCAGAGATGAAAAGTTGATGAAATTCTGCATCATCTTGTGCTGAAGTGCGGGGACCCTTATGTATGATTTCATTTATCTGCGGGCTGTAGTGAGACTGAGTGGTCCTTGATCATTGATTCTGGAAATGAAGGGACACACAATTGGAAAAAGCTGCCTCCTATTCTGCACACGAAGCCTGAAGCACCTGTGACAAAGAGGCTGTATCTCAAAATGCACAAGGAAAATTGTAGTACAGTTCCATGGAAGGGTGTGAAACTTAATCACTAAATGGTCAGTTTTAGCCACAACGGTAAGTCATGGGTTTTTCTTGTGCTGCTATCCCTATGGGGAAAAATGGAATAATAATTATCAGTTGAGTTCAAAGTTAATATTTATACAGCAAGTTCATAGTGAGGATAGCTATTCAAATATTTAGCACTTGCTTGTTTTCATTGCAGGAATTGCAAAGCTCAGGAAGAGGACGCTTTCTGCTGGAACATGCCGCTCCCTTCTCTGCTTTTTTGACGGACAGCTTTGGCCGTCAGCACAACTACTTGCGAATTTCTTTGACTGAGAAATGCAACCTCAGGTGTAAGTTTCTGCTTGCTTTCTTGCAAAAAGCTCTTATGCACCAGATTGTGCAAATGCCAGGAATTGAGATAGGGTACTTGTAGCTGTGTTGGCCCTGTGCTCTTTTTTTTTGTCTTCACAAAGTAATGGCAAAGGATAGATAGAGACTGATTTGGGGCTGAGCTGCTGGTGGGATGGGGAAGCAGGAGCAAGCCTAGGGATCTGCCAGAGGCAAGTGGGAGCGACCAGTCTTTCATCAGACTTGGTGTGGTTTGGATGCTGGTGGATGTTTGTATGCCATACCCAGAGAGTGTGATAAGCATGAGAGCTCGTACCTAGGCATTCCCACTATTACGTGTGCAAAGTTTGTGGCAATGTCCCAGTGCTTGCCAGTTCAGTTTGCTGTCTGTGTTTGAATGCAGGTTACATAGCTTTCCCTTCAAAGTGGATCCATTGTAGTTTTGAGACCCGTCAAATAAGTCTTGGGTTTTCTTTTGAAGGAATTGTTAGGAGATTGCTTGGAAGAAAGGTCTGGTGTATGATCTTATCTGTATTTCGGAAAAGCAAAGTCATCTGGCATCTATTAAAGATGGCTGCACTTGGTTCACTTTCCCTGTCAATAGTAGATTAACTTCTGCTGGTTATTTTTCCCCATGGATTTCTATATTCTTTGTTTCAGGTCAGTATTGCATGCCAGAGGAAGGTGTTCAGCTGACTCCTAAATCAGAGCTACTTACTGCTCAGGAAATAATCACCCTGGCCAGACTGTTTGTGAAAGAAGGTGTAGAGAAGATCCGACTGACAGGAGGAGAGCCACTGATCCGACCTGATGTGGTCGATATTGTGGGTGAGTTCCCAATAAAGTGTGTTTCAAAGTGACTTGCTATATATTGATCTGAGAACTATGCTTACAACTATCTACTTATACAGTCCGGCAACCTGAAGAATAATTATACATGAAATGACAGTGCTTTTTCCCAACACTTTGGAATGCAAGATAGTTCCTTTCAGAAAACTTCCTATTCTGCTCTCCGGCTTGGATGGAATTTACGTCTCTTCATATTATAACGGCTGAACTTAGTGTTGTCCTCATATTCAAGGTCTCCTAGAATAGCTTGCAATAATGCAGCCTTGGGGTAAAAAATCAAGAATCGATGTGACCAGACCCTCACTGGGGAGGAAGAGCTGATACGTGCTTCCAAACAAAACAGTTTTTCTTTTGGATTTTTGAGGGTTTTTGTTTTTGTGGTTTTGTTTTGTTTCCTTGATAACAGCTGTCGCTTGTCTGTGTTTAATAAGGAATGGTGGAAATGCCGATGTTTTTACAGTTATTGACGAAGACTGTTACTTCAATGGAAGATAAATTGCTGGGCAAGTTTTTACAAGTCTATCTCCTTTGATTGTATTGTGTTGACTGACTGTACCTGGTTTTTTTTTCTTGAGCCAGGTGCTTTTTTCCCCTGTCCAAAGTCTCATATGTTATAGATATTACAACAGCTTTGCATAGTGGCAATATATTAGATTAAGGCTATGTAGGTGGGTGCACTTTGGTGTGTCGTGGGCATTGTTTCTGCGCGTATACTCTTACAAGTACTAAAGATAAGAATGGGTTAATGTGGAAGATGAAGGTCTTGAAAGTAGAGTAACTGCCTACTTATACCCTGAGCTTTGGTGCAGGACACAGCTGGGCTCTGCTGCTGCTCTGTTTTGTTCAGGATTTGGAAGACCTTTATGATCTTTTCTAAAGGAAGCAGCAGAACAGTGTAGTATACAGAGCTGACCTGTTTATAGCTAGAAAAAGTACGGCTAGAGTGAGCTGGCTTGGGTCTCTTTGAATCTTGACTGTGAGGAGTCCTGCAACTGCACTAACTTAATGTTTTTGGAAGTCTGTGGAATACCATTTTCTAGGTATTCTCCCGTTTGGGCTGGGATAGAGATAATCTGGATTTCTAGGTGCTTTATAGAAACTGTCTACAATATCTCTGGTGCTGAATAGTGTTGAGATTTAAGTTAGGTTTTCAGCAAACCTTTCTCTTCACCATAACTGGTCTATGAAATACCAATAAATCTCAAAAATATTAATGCTAGGTTACTATTACCGTACTCTTCCTATACGCAAGCTCAATGAACAAATGTGATTTGAAGCTACTGTAAGAGTCCATGCTATTCAGAAACCTGCTACAGTTCTTTAGATTATTTCAAATCTTCTTTTAATGCGTGTGCATACATAAACTATAACTTGGCAACTAATGCTTGGTGAAAGCTAAATCGTGTCCTGGCAACTGCTCAAAACATATGGTTGAGACTTTTCTGAAGCAGCTGATAGTGGACTATAGAATCCATCTCCTTGGGATACTCGAAGTTTAAATCAGCACCGATTTAAACTGAGTGATAGCTGTTTGTTATTAATACTCTGAGAAGTACAGATCTCCATGGAGAAAATAATTTTCCATGGGGTAGGGGACAGATGGTTGGATGACTTTTTATAGCAACACACACATTTTGAGAATGAAGTGGTACAAGGTAGACTTGCTAATTCATTTATTAGGAGATACCCATACCTTTTCTGGACTCAATCAGGAGAAGTGCAATTGAGGAAACGATTGGAGGAGAATATGTAAGAAACTTGTCTGTTTAAGAAGATGCTCTTAATCCTAAAGGGAAGGGTAGATGTAAAAGGGTTTACTTGATCAGTTGAGCCTGACAAATCAGCTTTTAGCTTCACGCTACAGCATCTGTTCCGTTTCCTTTTCTACTTGATAGTTTTATCCATTGCCTTTGCTTGTGCTGATTGTTGCTAAAGCAGTGACCAAAGGTCAGCCAACAGACTTAATATGGGCACAAGGTGAGTTACAAAGTTACAAAATCTCTTTAATGCCTTTTGAATTTAGAGGTGAACAAGCCAAGAAACCAAGCAACTGCAAAGGTTCCACTTCTTAGCATGCACAGGTAGAGTATACTAACTGGTCCTTGTCAGCTTGTTGGTGTTAAGTCTCCATCTCTAATTTGTTGCAGTTGTCTCCTATCTGATGTGTTATTACAGGTGATTCCACATGTTAGTGTATTTCCAGTGGCTCATCCTGGATCTCATCCTGCCTGCTGAGGAGGAAGATGCCTTGATAGCAGCTGGTGCCTGCACTAACTGACCTCATCAGCTGGTGCTACTTTTTAATATTTTTTCCATTTTAGGCTGCAGCATGGTTTTGGCTTTATTCTGTGCCTTTATGCATTCTCCATTTCTAGCAGTGAAGCCTGTATGACAGCTAGTCTTTTTTTCTCTCTTAGGAGGTTGAGCATTTTCACATGGAATCATGAAGGTTGGAAAAGACCTCAAGGATCATCAAGTCCAACCGTCAACCCAACACCACCCAACCCACTAACCCATGTCCCCAAGCACCACATCGACACGTTTCTTGTGTGTTCTGAGGCTGTAAAAGAAAGCAGTGGTGTTCCTGTGCTATCCTCTGGCTGCAGTGTGTACCCTGTACTCTCACAGACTAGGCTGCTAGTGCTAGCTACTGTTAAATAATTGTTGGCAAACTTGGGCCAATAGCATGGAAAAATTTATTCCTTGTCAGTGGGGAAGATTCTGAGAGGTGAATGTCAGAAAAATCTAGTTCTTAGTAAAGATTGCTCTTTGCTTTGCAACCTCAGGTTCCAAATGTCTTTACAGGGCTCTTAATCACCTTGGAAATGCTGCTGCTGTAAATTTCAGCCTCTTTGGTATGACCCAGCTTGTCCCATTCCCGGGTTTTGGGCCCAGCTTAGGGTGAATATTTCAAGAATAGCTGAGGAGTGAGATAGAGCAGGAGTAAAGCCTTTATCAGCATGAACAAATAGAGGTAAAACAGGGAGGGAAGAAGGAACTATGAAATATTTGTGCTGCAATTAAAGCCGGCTCAAGAGTAAGGGTTCTTCAAATATTTCTCAGCTAATTAGGGTAGAGGCTATGAGAGAAGGGAGGAGGGAAAATAAGAAAATTACTTTGCTGGGCTCTGCTTCTGCAAGTCATTTAACAGGGTTTTTTTCCTATTTGTTATTGCACTTACAACCGGAGGTTTGAAACAACAGTGAAGTAGCTGTTTACTCTTAAGAAAAGGAGAGCAAAATTAGTGTGCATTTTCAGAGTTCTTTATAACCAATTTTGCTTGCAGTAAACGACTGCCTTTCATACCTGTTGAAATGGATTTGTGCTAAAATGGGTCTCATAAACCAGGCTGAAGCGCTGCAGTGCCGGTGTTTTCCTCGTGCCCTCTGTGACTTTTTTTGTTCATTCGTTTCACAAATCTTTTGGGTTTTCTGTGTAACTTACAGTTGAATTACTACTTTAAAAGTTTTCTTTTTATTTTCGTAGGTCAACTGTATAAGCTAGAAGGGCTGAAAACCATTGCTGTCACAACCAACGGGATCAACTTAGCCAGACTGCTGCCCCGACTGAAGGAGGCAGGACTGAATGCTATCAACATCAGCCTGGATACTTTGGTCCCAGCTAAATATGAGTTCATTGTCCGCAGGAAAGGTACAGGCTTGTCTTCTAAGGCAACTGTGTTAATTCTAGCAGTAATGTTGGGAGTTGTTTGGTACGTCTTTCACGCTTGGGTGGGGAGTCAATTGCTATCCTTCTGGGGCTAGGAAAAGTAGTCTATGCTAGCTTATTTGATAGTGACTCTTTTTCCTTCTTTCTACAACCCCTAGGCAGGTAGAGCCCCTTTAGTCAGAGCTGGTGGAGTAGAAGATGCTCAACTCACCACAGTCAGTAACTGGCTGATTAGTGGTTAGTCATGGATATCAAGAGGACTCTCCAAATCTTCTGTTGGTCTTGTGTGCTGCTCTTCTTTAATACTGTTCAAGAAACAGATGTTCCCACTATAGGAGCTGGGCACTAAGATGCCACAAGAAATGAAGTTCTTGTCATGAATAGCGTCAGTTTCTGGAAGTTATATTTGGGGCATGCTAGCAGTGGTCTCACTTGTGATTAGTGATGTTCCCTACCTCCACTACTTTTTAATAGGAATAAACATAAACGGTCCCTGAGGTCATTTGAGGAGGGGTGCTAGCTTTGTAACTTCTCTCTGATTGAGATAGTAATTCCAAACAAAGTTTCAAAAATGCTTGGATGTGCTCAGTGTTACAAATTCTTACTTAAATGAATCCTAAAGCTCAACATGAAGATCAGCTTCATGGTTGTGCTTCCTTCCAACCTAAAACTGATCTTGTCTCATTCTATTTCTGTCCAGTAGTGTAACTTTGGCAGTTTGTGAACTTCCAATTCAGACAAAAGCTCCAAGTAGCCACTAGATGGTGCGACAGCGTAAGGTAAATGTAGGGTAAGGGATGTGGAAATCTGGGATGTAGAAATCCGGGGTGCTGTGAGAAGCAATCTCAGTGTTTGAATCACCCCACTATCCAACTGAAGTTCTGCTGGCAGGTGCATAAAGGTGTCCTTGTCTACAGTCTCTCTGGGAACACTCCTTCAGGTTTCTACATCATGGTGCAGAAATCTGTCGCTGTCATAAATGACTAGAGCATTATCCTTCCCGCGTAGGCTATTGCGTTAATCTGGTTGTGTCATGGCACAGTTGGCTCCCAGGGAAGTATCTGATCACAAGCAGATGTTGACTGTGCTCTTTCCTTCTGCTATCGTCTGCGTTTGAATATTACCTGCTTTATGACATTCACTGGAAACAAGCCTTTCTTTCGCTACTGAAGGGGCAAACCTGATCCTTCAGCTTCCTGAATTATATGGCCCCAGCTTTTCATATCTGATTGGAAGCTGTTAAGAATGTGCTGCTTATAAACTGAAAGTTATTGGGGGATAAGGGTAATTTTTATTTATATAAATTTTCTATTCCCCTCTTCCACCCTTAAAGGTCTTTAACCACAAAGAGAGAAATTGCTTATCTGAGTAGCATACAGAATGAACAGGGAAGTTTCTATGACTCAGTATTTTTAAGGAGGAGAATAAAATCTCTGAAGCATAGATTTATTTTTTTTTTTTAAGTGGCGATCGGGTAAAAATAGTAATGCAGAGTTGGGTTTCCCCCTTTTGTTCAGGACTGTAATTACGTAAAAATACTTTTTTAGTCTTTTTGAGGGTTTTTTATTTAATAGGAGATTTCTAAGTATGGGATGAGCAGGGAATAAAGTGCCTGCCCTACTGTGCTACCCTGTCTCCTGTGGCAGTTCCAAAGGTGACAAGATATAGCTCTGTTAAGGTGAGAGGGATTCCTGATCTTAGATTCCTACAGGCTGGTAACTTCTGTGGAAAGGAAAGGTGTCACCTTATTATGGAGCTAACCAGGAACTCAGGAATCTTGGAATCAGTTTTTCTGCTCGTCTGGAAACTCATCCTAGGGCTTTAAGAAAAGGCTGGAATTTTTTATCTTTGCTTTTGTTCCCAAAATGGTTGGGACAGAGGGAATGACTGTGAGATGATCAGAGATTTCACTGATGTATGAAAGCACATTAGAGTTCCACAATATATCTATTTCTCCCCACCTACCACATTCTAAGGGATGAACAATGAGAAGTACTGTCTTGCAGGTAGCCAGTCTAACCTGTTTCACAGCCTGTCCCTTCTTTTTGGTTCAGCACAAGGAAAAGGAGATAATAATATACTGTAGTTGAAGCATTAAACATTGGCTTGAAGCCTTTCTTCTTGTAAGGATTAAATGTTGGGAGGTGTTGTCCCACATAGGATTGTTCTGGATGTGCCTAAGGTTCTCTGTGCTTTGAAGTTGCCTAAAGTTACGATTTCAGAAGAAATCTAAAATGAGGAAAATATTGAAATTTTTCATTGAGTGGAAGAGAAGGGTTGTACTTTTGAAAAGTCAAACAGAAACTTAGAGAGCTTCTGAGCCTTGACTATTTCCTGACACAATGACATCTACTATTCATTTCTGCTCTAACATTTTGAAATGTTTTGGTTTTATTCTTTTTGTTGTTCCATTACAACAGGAGGACTTTGATCTAGAAGGGATGTTCCAATAAGTATGGCCATACAGATGAACTCCTAACAGCTTCCCATAAAGAAAAAACTGAAAACAGTTAACATCAGAATATGAAATGCAGTTACAGATTTTTATTTTTTTACTGTAACATTTTTACTTTAAATAATCACCTTGCCCCCAAAATCTTTCAGTGGAAACAAGATCACAGTTGTTGTTAATCAGAATAGCTTCCTTTTTTTCGTTTGTAGAGATTTTTGATAGCTGTTTGAAATCACACTCTTGTGCTAGCATGGCAGGAGGTAAGAGGCAGAACTGGGAAGGACACTGAATTAGATGCACTGCAAGCTCTAATCCTCTTCCACACCTCTGCAGCAAGCTGAGCCCAAGCATGTGAGCATTGAAACATGGAGAGTTTTTGATCTGCTGCTTGCTAGTGATTGTTTCCTGGCTTTTTAGTTAAGTTCAGTTTCAACTTTCTGCAATCCTGAAGTTGCACATAAGGTTTTCTGAGCTGCTGCAGTGTTTTGATTCCACTTACAGCAGTGTATCATTATCTCTGTTGACACATTCAGCCTGCAAACTTGCTTAATTGGAATGAAAGCTACCATTGGTGTTGCAAAATTCCTGGGCACATGCAAAACCAGTAGGTGGTAAAGGAGAAGGGTGACAAGACATAACTTCCAGCACTTGCTCACAAGAGTTATTTCACTGTCTTCTCCTTGCTCTTCACCTCTCTGCAGCCCAGACTAGCATTGGGACTGGCTTATAAAATGGTTTAGCATTTTCTGCTTGCCTGTGTCCATGCTTTATAACAGCTTTACCAGCCAGAAAGCAGTTAAGTGAAAGTTTCTCTTTTTTTTTTTTTTTCTTGAATGCATCCGATATTAAGTATGTGCAGAATATTATTGAGTTATTGCTTATTTATGGTAAAGCACCTACAGGTTAGTGAAGGTATGATGCTTTCACTAGAGAATCAGTGTTTCCAGTAGATTAAGCGACAGGGAAAGGAGGGTGATGGACCTGCACAGAAATATAGATGACTAGGAACAGTTATCGGCACAAACTTCTGGAAGATATTGCCCTTTTGCTAGCATGTGTAAAGTATTTTTTGCTGTTGAAGACTACAGCTTTGGAAGAAGGAACTCAATGTCATGCGGTGTTTGGTCTCTCATACCCGAGTTTAGTGTGCGGAACAGGATGGGAACTCAGTCTAGTGGGGGACAGGAGGGACATTCACAAGCACAGTGCTGGCAGGTGAGCACACCCACTCACCAGAAATGTGGACCCCAGAGCTCAGGAGCTCATTCTTGCTACTATCACCTTGTTTCTCTGCCAGCTGGTGAGTGTGGCAGGGAAGGGAATAACAGGTCAAATCGAAAATTGATATCTTGATGAAAGGTCTTAACTTCGTTTAAAGTTGACAGAAGGTGTGGTTGGAATGAGATGATCAAGAGGCTTTCCTAAAGGCCTTGGGAATTCCAAAATTGCATTGTTGCTTTCTTTTTCTTCCAAATGTAAGAGGTATGTGTAGGGTGAAGATACTTGCCCTATATTAACCATGTGTCTGGGAGCAGCTGACAAGCTCAGGCCATGCTAAAAGGTAGGGTGAGGCTGGGCACGGCGTTCCCTGGAGTCACTGCAGTTTTTGACATCTTTCATCTGTTTTCAAGGGTCAAAGGCTAACTGATTGCTTTCTTAAATCACAGAATCACAGAATCACAGAATGTTAGAGATTGGAAGGGACCTCGAAAGATCATCTAGTCCAATCCCCCTGCCGGAGCAGGACACCTAGATCAGATCACCGCATCTGGAATATTGTGTCCAGTTCTGGGCCCCTCAGTTCAAGAGGGACAGGGAACTGCTGGAGAGAGTCCAGCGCAGAGCCACAAAGATGATTAAGGGAATGGAGCATCTCCCTTATGAGGAAAGGCTGAGGGAGCTGGGTCTCTTTAGCCTGGAAAAGAGGAGACTGAGGGGTGACCTAATTAATGTTTATAAATACGTGAAGGGTGAGTGTCAGGAGGATGGAGCCAGGCTCTTCTCTGTGACATCTAGTGCTCTAATCTCCTCCACAGTGTGCTCACCGATTTCACATTTAGTCATAAAAATGATGATCCTGTAAAATGTTGCCTGTGATCTTCAAACTAACGGGTGGTCGGTAGCTTTGGGAAGCCCATTCCATCTGTAGCCAGCGATGAACAGGGAATCGAGGGGCTTTGTTCCTTACCCTGTTCCCCTCCACCGGCACCTTTTAAAATTCACTTAGCAGTATTGCTGCCTGACTCAGAACAGTGAGTTTCTGCCATTTTAGTGAAGATACATGTGCCATTATTATAAAATAAACATTAATTTTTAATTCTTTTGCATCTGGAGGCAGTTCACAAATGTCTTCCATTAGTGTATAGGTCTCCATACACTAGTGATACATGGGTGTCAAAGGTGCAGAAAAGCACACCAGTATTTTTGACTACCCAAATACCAGATAAAAAAATTGATCTCAGTGACTTTACCACAATAACACTGGCAGATTTTGGGGGGGGGGGGGGGGGTG